TCCCTCAGCTCTTCAGCTCAAGGCTAGCACTCTACCACTTGAGCTACAGCACCACCTCCGGCTTTTTTCTTTTTGCTTATGTGGTGCTGAGGAATTGAATCCAGGGCCTCAGGCAGGCAAGGCAAGTGCTCTACCACTGAGCCACCTTCCCATCCTCAGGAAAGTCCATGAGACTCTTATCTCCAATTAACCACCAGAAGAAAAGAAGAAGTAGCACTGTGGCTCAAGTGGTAGAGTGCTAGTTTTGAACTGAAGAGCTCAGGGACAGCACCCAGGTCCAGAGTTCAAGCCCCTGACTGACAAAAAAAAAAAAAATCCCTTATCTTGTCTTTCTTTCCCCAGGAGTTTCTTCTTCTGACTCTGAAGGGGACCTTAACAAGGAAGAGATGAATCGGTAATCCTAATTTTCTATTTTATAGTCTTTACATCCTTAGATCCTAAGAAAACTCCTAATTAGTGACTACAACATGAAGGGGGTAGTTAGTTACAGGGTAAAATCCAAAAAGAAATGAAAAAATAAGGAAGGAGGGAGAGAGGGAAAGGAAAGACTTGGACAAGACTACTTCTTTTGCTTAGATCTTTCCTAGCAGATTAATTTGAATATTTACAATATTTTTTAATGTGCTGAGCTTTGTAGTGGATCAAGCCAGTAATCCTAGCTACTTGGGAGGTAGAGATGGGAAAATCGCAGTTGAAGGCCAGGCCAGGCATAACATTTTGAGGAACTACATCTCATTCAGTGATTGGGCAGAGTTGCATGCTCTTGTAATCCCCAGTGACATGGAAAAGCACAAAATGGCAGCCCACACATAAAGTAAGACCCTACCTTGAAAATACTAAGGCAAAAAGGCTGGAGATCTGGATCTGTGTCAAGTGGTAGAGTGCCTGTCTTGGAAGCCCACGACTCCATTTATATCCCTTATACCACAAAGAAAAGAATCGCCTATGAAATATTATCATACTTCTATCTACAGAGTAAAAAAGCAAATAACCTGCCTGGCACCAATGGCTCATGGCTGAAATTCTAGCTGTATAAGAGGGAAGTCTATGAGACATCTATCTCCAACTGACCACCAAAAGCCAGATGTGGAGCTGTGGCTCAGGTGGTAGAGTACCAGACTGGAGTGAAAGAGCTATGGGACAGATTCTGAGCACATATATATGATCACACACACACACCACACACACACACACACACACACACACACAAATCATCCAGTAGCTTTGTATAAAAATCATGGTTAGGGCTGGGAAGGTGGCTCAGTGGTAGAGTGCTTGCCTTGCATGCATGAGGCCCTGGGTTCAATTCCTCAGCACCACATAAGCAAAAAG